TCGCTGTAACGACCTAAACGGACGGTTCTTTTCCCATCTTCCGTCCGCCAGACAAGATATCTTCTCCGTTGGCCTTCCAGATGGAAACGCGAATCCTGCATAACACTGATAGGTCGCCAGACCTCGATAAGTAACGTTCGAGGAGCCAATTGAGAATCCGTTATCGATTTGGGGCACGGGGCCGCAGTATACCTCCTGGCACTTAGGAATATACGTAACGGACCAGTTTCCTCCAGGGAGGCATTCCGTGGAGATTCGCGACTTGCCCGTAGCAAACTCTTGACCCAGCGGGCAGGAGAACGTAACTACTGTACCGAAAGCTGTGTCACGACTAGACGCCAAAGCTCCCTCACCAGGTTGCAATGGTGGACAATCTAAATCAAGTATTTTCTATTCGTTAACAAGGCTGATTCTTAGTGTTACAACAGTGGGGAACGATAGGGTAATTAAGGATCAGCGCTGTAAACGGTGCGCAATTAACACAAGATCGTTAATTCTTGTGCTTGGGCTCGTCGAATGGACGCAGAGTTATATCTGTACCTTATTATACCACTGAAGATGACTCAAACTTGAGTCGAAACGTTTGGAGCTTTTGTAATAAACAAAGTTTTAACCGTAATGTGTTAATTCTTAATTGCCTATTTATTGTTCCCCATTATTTTCTATTTAATCATCATTTCTGCCGCTAGACGTAGATAAACTTATAAGAGTAAAGTTTATTTAGATTAGATTGGCCTTTAAAGCGAGACTTAAATCTGCATCTGTCTTTATCTTTCTTTCTAAATAAATAAAGGGAGATACAGATTTAAGCTTAAAGCTAAAATAACGTTGGTTCAATCGGATCTTAATAACATGATGAAAATAAATATGCACGATTGGTAAAATGTATAAATATCTTACAATTAGTGATACAATCATATTCATACATTTAGTATTGAGTATTTTGAAAATTAAACCGGTATGGCTTACCGGCAGAAAACTCGGCCTGCCAGCCGGTGCTGCTGTGCAGAGCATCGGAAGAGAATCTAACGAGCATTTCTCCGCTTTCCGCGGTGAGCGTGATCTTAGGTCGAGTGTTAGAGGTGAAACCGCTTCCGGGATGCAAGCGTAGCCCGTTCGTGTTGGAACCATCATATATCTGCCGTGAAAGAGCGAAAGTTAGTTAATCCGGATATGCGTCGGGAAGTAACGTAATTTCTGTCGTTTATACCGTAATTGAGTTTTACCTGCACGTAATCGGTTTTGTGAACGTCGAAATTAACGAATTTCAGAGACAACGGTCCCCTGTCCGGATTTTTGATTCTGTACAAACAATCCTGATTATTGGGATAATCGTTGAGACCGTAAGACGGTGACTGAACCGTTCCGTTCCTCGCGATTATCGTGGCTTTACAACCCTGCGTGAAGCGAATGCTGAAACCACGCCTGGAATCGCCGAGGCTTGTTTTGAAATATAAGTACAAGTTGCTTCCGGTGGACATGATCACTATTGGATTGTCCTCCGATTTCCCGGTGAGGCGTGCGATCGGTCGGCTCATAGGCGAATCTCCGTCCCTCACAAGAATGTAATCCCGATTCATCTCGAGATCCAAGTCCTCGATCTGAAAACGGAAGGGTTTCAACGCTCAGATTTTGTAAGTACTTTTAGAATTCGTTCGTTACGAGAGTTTTGATGTTGTATAAAACGTGTGTCGCAGTATTGAAATAAAATGAATGTGGGATCAGGTTATTTTAATGTACCTCCAGAGACATTATACGTCCCGGCTGAGCCTGTAAGATATACAGACACTCCAATCCTCCGGGATAATTTTGCGGATATCCCGGGGACGTGAGCACTTGTCCTTGCGGCGTTGCTCTAAGGATACCGCCGCAAGTCTGTGGTTCGGTCTTCCAGGAAGCACGGAAGCCTTTCCTCTCCACCGAAGCGTCGGTACTGAACTTTATAATCATGAAGTTCGAGGCCGAGACGAAGAGCTTGTTGCTGAGCTCCTGTTTGCCGGAAAGGGTCGCCAGATTTACGGACTTCTCCTCGGTTCTGCCGCCAACGAGAATCTGCACTATGTCGAAGCTCTTCTCGGTCTCAAATTCTTGAAACTGAAACACAAATCGTAACTCATTTTGTAATTCCGCTTTTTCAAGTGCCAACTTGTGGCTCCGGTGGCTCCGGAAAGTTCTCGCTGTATGTACCGCGATAAGTGTCATTAGCGTATTGAACGGAGGAACATTTGTCAAGTAAACGACTCACCTGCAGAAGAATATTGTGTCCTTGAGGGCCCTCCAGTGTCCACTTGCAATTGCTGAGAGGCGCATATTTATGCGGGTAATTTGGGCTCTCCACAACGTCGCCGCTGCTCGCCATGTAATACTGGCAGTTAGCCGGGCAGTCCAATTCGTCGGAGTAATCGCCGCAGTCGTCCTGCTTGTCGCATTTGAATGCCGCGTTGATGCACTTGCCGTTCGAGCAGTGGAACGAACCTGCGGAGTTATCCCGTCACGTTCGGATTATCGTCCCGTTCTCGCGTGAAATATGGAGAACGGCCCGCCGGCCGTTACGCGACCGCGTCGCTGGCAATCCATCGTGTACGGAACTTACCGGAAGGACAGGCGTTGGCACGGCACATGAAGGGAAGAAGCGACTCGCACGTGGTCAATTCCCACGTTTGCCGGTCGTCCGTCAAGGCGACGTCCACGCACTCGCCCGAGTGCGGATTCGGCTGCCTCGGCGCCCAGAAACCTACATTTTTGTCATAATGACGCAACGTAAGAACGCATTCTTTCCCGTAACGTCGGCGTGCGACAGTGCC